GAGGGTGGTGCCCCAACCCCCTGATGGGCCCTGTTCTGTGTGTGACAGGGGGCAGCACCCCAACCCCCTGATTGGCTCTGCTCTGTGCATGACAGGGTACAGAGCCCCAACGCCCCTGATGGGCCCTGCTCTGTGAGTGACAGGGGGCAATGCCCCAATCCCCTGATTGGCCCTGCTCTGTGCGTGACGGGGTGGTGCCACAACCTCCCCATCGACCCTGCCTTGAGTGTGACAGGGGGCGGGGGCCCAACCCCCCACTTTGCCCTACCCTGAGCGTGACTGAGGGTGGCATCGCAACCTCCCAATCCACCCTGCTCTGTGCATGACAGGGGGCGGTGCCCCAACTCCCCAATCGGCCCTGCTCTGCACCTAGGGTTTGGGCCTGCCCTCTTCCACAGGGAGCAGGCCTAAGCCAGCATGTCGTTATCTCCCGAGGGGTCCCAGACTCTGAGAGGGCACAGGCCGGGCTGAAGGACCCCCTTTACCCCCGAGTGCACAAATTTTTGTGCACCGGGCCTCTAGTAAAAATATAAAATGTGTACATATAAAAATATATTCAGTGACTTATTTATATTATAACTGGAAGGTTGTACCTTTTGATCCGATTCACCTATCCCTCACCCCCTGCTCTTGCAACTACCAATCTGTCCTCTGTATCTAAGTTGGGTTTTTGTTTTATTGTTATTGGGTTTAGGTTTCATTTCTGTTTTTTTTAGATTTCACATGTAAGAGAGATCATATGTTAAAAATTAACACAGGTAGACTATGGCTTGCATATTCATATAAACACATAAAGGAAGCACCTGCCAAAGGAGTTGTTTTATTGTTGTTTTCAGGACAAAAGATAAACTATAGGGACTGAGAATTGGATTTACAGTGGCAGCCTGGAAACTAAATTAAGGTGACAAAAATGCTGATCCCAGTCTTGAAAGCGCTGAGATCCTATTTTACCTACAGCTGATAATGTGTGGTTTCTAGAAGCAGCCTATGAAACAGAAATCAAATACCAGCTCAGATAACCCTCTGGCAACAGGACAGGTATCTCTAAAATCCAGCAGGCAAATACCCCAAATTCATAGAGCTGAAAATTTAGATAAAGCTTAAAAAGCAGTTCTTTGGTTGAGAAGTACCTTCAAAGTATAAGGTGGAAAAAATGAAAGTGGAATCATAGTAGACATATTCTGCTAAAATTTCTGAACTAACGATGTCAAAAAGTCTCCATGAGACAACCTACCAAAGAAAAAAAAAAGAATCAGATTAACTTTAGATTTCTCGGCTGCAAGACTAGATTTCAAAAAAACAATTTTGTAAATTTTCTGTCGCCATTTTGAGTTACCCAAAGATATACTCCACTAAAATATTTAATTCACAAGAAAAAAAATTCAGTCTGCATAAATTATTACAAATGGAAAAAATAAACAGATGTT